AGGCTAGCACTGCACTTCGGGGCGTTTGCTCCATGGGATGAGATGAACGTGGCGACGAAGACAACGCTACGGAACGTGAGGAGAGGGGATCCGATTGCGATCATCTATATTCCCAGTGCAACCCTCGCGCGGTATGGGGCTGGAGTCGCGGCTAATGGGACTTTCATGGTCTTTGACGTGATCCCGTTCTATGAGGTCAAGTCCATTTGGATTGGCAAAAGCAACGGAGGGAAGCGCCTGGAGTACGCTGACATCAAGAGGGCGTACTCGAAGTGTGTGGAGAACGAGATCTGCCCTGGCTTTGTCAACTCTTCCCAAGAGTCGGCTGCGATGTTCCTCCAGAACGTCGCAAAGATCAGCGAGAGGATGCCGGAGACTGAGACAGGTGCCGATAATCTGCACTACATCGTTGACATGGTTAATCGTGCCTGCGAACTCTATCGAATCAACAAGATGGAAGAGTTCAATGCACAGGTCAACGAGGTCCGGGACGAAATCAGCAAAGTCGTCATCCTGAATGACGAGACATGGGAAGGACTGAGGTGCCGGATATGTCCATCATGTGCGACCGCGATCCCCACCTGCTTCTGCTTATGCCTGGAGTGCGAGGCACAACTGATCTCCATCGGAAGATACTACATTCACATCAAATCCGATGACGAGGAGGACAACCAAAACCCCAACGTCTCTGGAGATGCCAGGCGTGCACAGGAAGAAGCTAACCACGATGCGGCAGCACAGGAGGATGAAGACGAAGCGGAGGAAGTTCCGGGAGAAGATGACGACATGGACACGCAAGGATATACATCCGGCTATGCGTCAGAAGAAGAAGACAGCGGTTGGCATTACCGCGACACCGATCTGGCGTCACGGGACATTATAAGTTCCCAACGGATGGCGATCTGCCTTGACGAGCCGCGTGAGGCTCAGTACATGGCAGGATTTATCGCACTCCAGCTGTCCAAGATGTGGGGGATGTTTGAAGGTGGTGAGGAGAGAACGATGAATGCCGGACTCGAAGGGAATCCGGGCTGCCCTTATCACAATGATTTCAAGAGGTACCCCAACATCACTGAGCACGATCAGGAAGGTATACTTTTGCCATCAACAATAACGAAGATTTCTCAATCGGAGAATGTTCGGACAAGAGCCTTCCGATCGGTTGAGGAGCGTGACGAATATATTCGTATGATGGTGTGCAAATGCGAGGGACTTTACACATTCTACAAGCTGTGGATTGCAGCGAGAATCCTCGATGTCACCAAGGAAGAAATGAAGCTCCTGGTCAAGGACCGAGTGCACCCGGTGGGTGATATTATTTTCAGATGTTTTGCACTAGCTTTCAACTGTAAGTATATATCATTCGTGAGGGATGGCCTAAACCTTGGCAAGAATGGTTACACGGTCAACGTGAGCGCCATCATCTCGGCCATCGACCCGAACAAATGCGACACACCCCTGCTGGATTGGTGCCTTCGGAAAGGGCACTGGTTGCCAGAGGACTACAACAAGAAGTGTGTCCGGGCACGAGAAGCCCAGAAGAACTTGGACGAGGAGTTCCGCCGACGTACCCATAGGCTGTCCATTGGGGACAGGTATGCTTCGTGAAGATGCTGATTGCGGTACGATGTGGGTCAGTCCCCATCTGTTACTTGCGTCACATCGACACTGTTTCGGTGGAACGACTTATGTCATGATTTATATTCATGTGTCCAAGATGATTGGGTGTGTACATGGTTACATATTCCGATGACTATGACGCTCTGGATATTCATGGATGGAACTATTACCTTATAGATGATATCTTTTCATTATTTATGCATTGTCCATGGTATCTGGAATGGCTATGATTTGCATTGATTACTCACCGATGTTTCTTTGCCGGAAATATGCAGACCGATTGCGAGCAGGCGCCTCTGGTGGACTTTTTTCGGCCAACCCATTTATGGATGACAGCTGCGCGATGCGCAAATGCGGCAGCTGGATTGTTCATTGGTGGTCAAATGACGTGACGATTGTGTATTATATACACCTGCATATGGATGTGTGCTTCGATTGGAGGATGAATGTTTCACTTTTCGTACAATCGAACCCGGCATGTTTCACAGCGAATGAACGGTGTAGTGATAGCAAGTAAAAGAATGCACGACACGATTTCGTAGTTGAAGCCGTGGCCAGTGGAACGTTTTGTGGTGTTTGGACCGCATGATGAACAATGCGACCCAAATGGGGGATGTTAAAACCCTCTAGGCCCCGTGCCGAAATTGGGTAGCTGTTCTGAGGTCCTTGTTGGTGTTGCTTCCCAAGTTCCATTGATCGCCATTTGGCTCAAGACACAATTGAGGTTCAAGATCTGATGTGTGACTGCATACATACGTGATCGGCATTGAGAGCGAAAACACTTCGCTTGCGCTGCATTTGTCAGGACTACTGTTGTAACTATCATTCCTTCTCCCTTACAACGTTTACACGGGTTCGGCTATAACGGCATCGTCCGTATACACCTTTCTACGTGGTTGGTATTACAGCTTGAGGGTTCGGTGCATAGCGTCCCACGGGACGTCACCTTGCCGTCTCTTGACAAACGCCCTACCAGTACCGGTTCGGGGAGGTTCTTGATGTTGCTGCTGGATTTGGGATCTTTCACCGGCAGATCTGCGAGAACATCCTCACCCTTGGCAGCCGTGCCGTTCCTGTGCCACCCCCATATGGCCGGCTGCGGGTCTCGGAGAATCGCGTTTGCGGAGAGATAGGCGTGGCTCCGGCTGCAGTGGCGCCGAAGGGCATGTCCTTGTTCTGGTCACAATGGAAGCGGAGCACCTACTCTTTTGCCACGGTCCAGTGGCTTTGTGAGGACTGGAAGGCTGATGCTATTCGCGCTGCCATTGGCATTGAGGAGACAGATTCAAACGGCCAGTGTGATGGCTATCAGGTTGATGAGGACGGCAACATGCAGGCGCTAAACGATGTCGTTGCCGCCTGCTTGGCCTGTGGATGTTACGTCGTTATTGACTTCCATTCTCACCAGGCAGCGCGCAAGGATGTCAAACCCTTGGCAAAAAAGTTCTTCAAGCAGGTCGCAGAGGAGTTCGGGCACTACCCGCATGTGATCTTTGAGACGTGGAATGAGCCCCCAGGTGAGGACTACCCGTGGAGTGCAGTCATGGACTATCACCGCGACATTCTCGCAGAGATCCGAAAGCACAGCCAGAACTTGGTTCTGGTTAGCACCGATGGCTGGGCTAGCGGCAAAGTACAGGGGCCGATTAGCGAGATTGCGGTGAATGACCCAGCACTGGCGTGGAGCTTACATGCATACATTTCGGACAAAGCGCAGCACCACATCGAGAACGTGAACTCAGCGCTTGAGCACGGCGCGGTCTTCATCACCGAGTGGGGCACGTCTCATCCAGACGGCGCCCACGCAATCCAAGCACATGAGAGCGAGAAGTGGATGAAGTTCTTGAGGGAGAAGAGGATCCCAAATGTGATGTGGTGCATCAATGACAAGGAAGGCGAGACGCACTCCTCTCTGAGAAAGAAGAAGCCGCCAGTGGGGCCAGCCTGCTGGGCAGACAAAGACTTGACAGAGAACGGGAAGTTCATGCGGCAGCTGTTGAGATCTTCGTACTTGCGCAAGGTGGGATTGTGAAATATCCCCGTGCCTAAGAAGTATGAAGGGACGTGCCCCTGAATGGCGTTTGCTATTAAAACCTTGCAAAACGAGATATAAATTAAATAAATATTAAAATATATAATTAAATATAAAAATGAATGATATAAATTTATATAATTAAAAAAAATTAAATTTTTTTTTATTTTTTTTTTTAATATATGTATATAAGATGAATTATATATATAATAGAGTATAATTATTAAAATAATATAAATAATATAATAACATGAGATACAATATAATAATATAAATAAATATAATATTAGATATTATATTATTAAAAACCTTGCAAAACGAGAGGAGCGTCAGTCACGATCTTCAACATGCTGCAGCTGCGGAAGCACTGCCAAATTGCGATTTCCGAGCTGGAACTGCGGAAGTGTACTTCGCGTACTAGACATGTGCTACAAAGTTGCGAGTTTCGATCTGGAGCTGCGGAAGTGTACTTCGCATTCTAGACTTGTGCTACAAAGTTGTGATTTCTGAGCTGGAGCTGCGGAAGTGTACTTTGCGTACTGATCTTGTACTACAAAGTTGCAATTTCCGAGCTGGAGCTGCGGAAGTGTACTTTGCATACTAGACTTGTAGCTGCAAAGTTGCGATTTCCGAGCTGGAGCTGCAGAAGTGTACTTCGCGTTCTAGGCTTGTGCTACAAAGTTGTGATTTCCGAGCTGGAGCTGCGGAAGTGTTACCTCGCGCACTAGACTTGCGCTGCAAAGTTGCAATTTTCGAGCTGGAGCTGCGGAAGTGTACTTCGCGTACTAGACTTGTAGCTGCAAAGTTGCGATTTACGAGCTGGAGCTGCGGATGTGTACTTCGCGCACTAAACTTGTTCTACAAAGTTGCGATTTCCGAGCTGGAGCTGCGGAAGTGTTACCTCGCGCGCTAGAATTGTACTGCAAAGTTGCAATTTTCGAGCTGGAGCTGCGGAAGTGTACTTCGCGTGCTGAGCTTGTACTAGAAAGTTGCAACGTCCGAGCTAGAGCAGCGGAGGTGTACTTCGCGCACTACACTTGTACTACAAAGTTGAGATTCCCCAGGTGGAGCGGCGGGTGTGTACTTCGCGTACTAGACCTGTAGCTACACAGTTGAGATTTCCGAGGTGGAGCTGCGGAAGTGTTACCGCACGTACTAGACTTATCAATCTTGTACTACAAAGTTGCAATTTCCGAGCTGGTGCTACAAAGTTGCGATTTCCGAGGTGGAGCTGCCGAAGTGCACTTCGCGTACTAGACTTGCGCGTGAGATGCACAAGGATAAGAATAAAAAGCGATAATGCTTTCGAAGGACAACGAATTTAACACGGGTTTTTTCGCAGCCCCAGGTGACATGGCAAGTCCAGGCCATCTCTGGCGAGGTGAGGCTGTTCACCGCCTGCAAGCAGCTGGGGCAGGATGCCGGTTGGCAGCTCTGTGCAAGCAGAGCGCTGCCGTCGGACGCTCTCGACAACGCGCGCACTTTTGCATTTGTCCACACGCAACGGGCAGACTTCCACACTTTGCCATTCCAGTCCTGGAAGGTCATTCCAGTGACAGGTGCAGGCACAGTGAAGCTGACGGTCGCGACGCGTTTCGGAGGACAAGATGCAGACTTGTGGCTTGGGGTATCAAAGCAGCGCAATGCCTGGTCGAAGTGGGCATGCTTGATGGAGGATTCGCAGGAGGCCTCGGAATGGATATTGGTGCCGGGGTCCATGGCCGGCACTCTGCGCCTGAAGCTCAGGGCGGACAGTGAGAAGGCAGCCTTCCTGTCCGTGCATCGATTGGAAACGTATGATATGCGAAATCGCATGTCCACCTACGTGTGCGTGCACGACACTGAAGATGGCAACTGCTGGGTCACGGACTGGCAAATAGAAGCGGGTGGCTCTCTGCTTGAGAGTTTCCAGTTGAGGCTGGTCGATGGCGGGAGCCCCAAAAGCCTGCGTGGCGGCTACCTGGACGTGCCGCTGCTCAAGACAGACAAGCGCAGTGCCACCACCTATGCCATCTTGCGCACAGATGCCGGCAAGGAGGGCTTCCGGGTTTGGAGAAGCGAGGTTGTGAAGAAAGAGCCCTGGACGGTGAAGCTCGAGCTGATCGAAAAGTCCGGCAAGGGCAGTGGCCAGTACTTGAGCTTCCGGGGTGTTTGCGACCGGGACCAGCAGTCAGGCTATGTGTATGTGGAAGGCGAGGGCTTGGCTTCACACTGGGAATTGGAGAAGGGCGCCTCTGCAGAAAGCGCCTGCCTCAAGCTGGCGATGCCTGCTGACCAGGCTGGCAGCGAAGTTATTGGATGGTACCTCTCCGCGGCGCGAGTGAAGGACTCCGACAAGCACACGGATCAGTCCTCCTACATGATCGTGTGCAGCCCCAGCTCGGGCATTCCCAGGGCCGAGTTCGCGCGTGAAGGTTTTCAGGCATAGCCACGCACTTCTCATTTTCCAGACAGTGCTTTTCGGCACGGGGAAAATCGGTAGTTTTTTTTTAGTGTGCAGTCTTGGCGCAGTTTTGGCCAGCCCGCTTAAGGAGGGAACAGAGCCCTGCCCATGACCATCTCAGAGGAAGGCGAGACCCAAAAAATCCGCCCAGTCGCCCTTGCTATTGTTATTCATGCGCTTTGCTTAGTTGCCAGTAAGCTTGGAGTGACAGGCTGCTTGCAAGCCTTCTACCAAGCTTGGAACAGCCACTCGGGCAACTTGGTGTCAAAAAAAGGTAGACGTGCTGTTGATGTCACGGGCGTTGACAATGCCAAGGCGTGGGCCTGCGAGCTCCAGCGGATGGGAAAGCGTGGTATGACCTCAGACCATCCGTTGCGGCCCGGGAACCCGGACAGGCCTTTCTTGTTGGAAAGGCAATGTTCGACTGATGCCGCTCCACCTTTGCCGGCTGCTCAGGGCTCAGTGTTGCCGGATGCAGTGTTGCACGATGGGGGGAACATGTTTGCTCTTGTGCGAGCTTGCCCGCTGGGCGGAGTGGGGCCTTGCCGCGCGGAGACGCGCTCTGAGGCAGATATCGCGCGCGTGTCCAGATCGCTGCAATCCGCTTGGTCTGCAGACAGTGCGACGCCGATACACTTTGAAGGGTTGTTTTGTTGCAGGCTGCGAAAAACGCAAGCCCCAGAAGCAATTTTCACGCGGAAGAGCCAAACAAACGCGAATCTGCCAAGTTTCTGTGTTGGTCCCTGGATCTATTCCGGAGAGAGTCCAATATGCCAATATGGATGATTGGAGGATGGATAGTCCCTGGTGGCTTGATCTGACTGATATTCCTTATAGCGGTCTCTGCAAGCCTTTTGTACTGCTATCGCATGAATGCAATACGCTATATACAAGAGGGCCTTGAGCCAAATGGTTGCAGGAGATCAATTGTGTAACAAACCAAACACAAAACAGACACAAATTTCTTTTGATCTCCAGCACTAGATATGAAATATCGTTGGCTTCATGGCCCTATGTGCCGTAGCCATACTTGAAAGTGTGGGCCGTAGCCATCTATTGTCACAATGATCCAGTGGCGCGGGTGATTTTGTCATGTGAGCAAGATGAAAAGCGTTTTGTACTGACTCTGTGCAATACCTAAATGTGTCGAAAAGTGATGCGCAACGCTATGTACATGCGGGACGGATGTGAAACTATTGATCTCTCACAGAATAGTCTTGTAGTTGTATTTCGTAGTGCTGGTCGTGTGAGTCTTCTTGGTCAGTCGGATGAGTGCCAAAGGTGGCTCTTTCATCAAGTGATCAGCGGTACCAACGACGGCTGCTGTCAGATTGACTGCCATAGTCTCCATCATCATTCCAGGTCGAATCGCCGTAGTCCTTCCAGTGCTGTTGATTGCCCCAGTACTGCTTGTTGTAGTCTTTGTATTCCTGCTGAGTCCAGGATTGCTTCTTCTTGCTCCTTGGATCTCTCAAAGTTACGTTGCCTGGCGGCGGATCTGCGGATATATACCATCAGCGGACTGTGCGAGTCGGAATCTTGTGAGCCGTTCATGAACATATCGTTGTTCACATGCTTGAAGCGTTCCGCGGATGAGACCGTTGGATCGTTCCGCATGGCTTCCAGTTGTTCATCGTTCTTGGCGTTCATCTCTTCCTTCCGGAGAACCTGCTGGATATTCGTTTTGCCCCATCCAAATACGAATGACATCATCACATCTGGGAATGTTCGATCATACCCTGATCCAGTCTTCATGTATAAGTGGTGACGAACAATGGATTTGACGATGGCATACTCCATTCTTTCCACGAGTGGAAGATTCTCCGTCTCATTCCACAACTTCTGATAGGCCTTCATGAGGATATTCATGAGACCATTGGCTGGATTGAAGACGTGCTCTCTTTTTCTCTTTCTCTCGCTCTCTCTCGCTCTCTGTCTCTCTGTTTCTCTCTGTCTCTCCTTCTTGCTGTCTTTCCTTCTTTCTTGCTGTCTTTCCTTCTTTCTTGCTGTCTTTCCTTCTTTCTTGCTTTCTTTCTTTTTCTCTGTTGCTGGGTCTCTTCCTCTTTCTTTTTCTGCACTTGTAACGTGCATGACAACTAGTGCTTCCCCTGACTCCGTGTGCAAACGAGATTTCCGTACAAACACGTGATTGTTGTGCAACACGTGATTTCCGTGACTGCACGCGCTTGCCGTTACAACACGTGCTGGCCGTGATAAAACGGGAACCAGATTGAACCCAGGTTGAACCCATTTGAACCCAAGTTGAACCCAGGTTGAACCCGGGTTCTCTTCGAACCCAGGTTGAACCCAGGTTGAACCCAGGCTGAACCCAGGTTGAACCCAGTTGAACCCAGGTTGAAGCCAGGTTGAACCCAGGTTGAACCCAGGTTTGGGCAACAGTTGAACCCACGTTGCAAAACCCGGGTTCGAACGCAGGTTGAACCCAGGTTGAACCCAGGTTGAACAACTAATCAAGTCAAACCTGGGTTGAATTAGTTTGGAACCATTTTCAGGAACTAGTTCAACCTGGGTTGAACCCGGGTTCGACAAGACTCAACTTAGATGAAAAGGTTCGAACCCAGGTTGAACCTGTGTTCGAACCCCCCTCACCCGGACCTTCCTGCGAAGAGCTGCGTTTGGAGGAAGCGTTGTAAACTGGCTGCAGAAGCACCGTGGCAACATACTCCAGCAATGTGAGAGATTATCGCTTGTGAGCACTGGAGAATGCAATGCGAACGGCGTGGAAAGCTGCAGGCACCATGTCATGATTGTTGATGTCTCTGAATCTTAAAAGACTGTCCCTCTTCGGGATCGAAAGAAGCCGCGCAGCTACTATTGATGTAAGCACGCCTGCAACGATGTATTGGGAAGAGTTCTTTGCTCTTTGCACTCAATGCTTGGAGCCATTGCAGCAGGGCAGTGCGCAAGCTTAAGCTCTTTGCCAGGCTGATCGCGTCCACGCTTGAGGGTGTGGTGCATGTCCGCCACAAGAGACCGTGAAGCTCCAAGTCTTTCCGTGGCCATAAGCCATTTTGGCTTAAGCCATTTGGCCAAGTTGCTTGGCAAGCTCAAGAAGTTAGTAGGTGTTGGATGGCAGGCCGACTGACACACACGGAGGTTCAAAGAGTGACAGGTACGGCTAAATGGATTTTTCTTGCTCTTTGGGTTAGGCCCGTAGGTTGTTTCTTTGGTTACGAAACATTCCTTGCTCTTAGTGCACTGACTTGCTTGTGTGCCGGCACCCTTGCAGGCTCGCTTAGGGACAGTACAAAACTCCGTGCGGCAGCCACTGCCCCCGAGCTGCGTGCAGCGGCTGCAGCTGCCACCGTCCAACGTGACCGTGCGGCACCAGGATGCGCTGGCCTATCTGCGATCGCTGCCCTGCCCAGCGCTCCAGCAGACTAGCTGCATTTACGCGGACCCTCCCTATATTTTCCCCGGCCGTGTCATGAACTACGGCACGAGGGGGCAGGGCCACAACCTGGCCTTCCACTCAGAGCTCCGAGACGCGCTCTTTGCAAGCAGCCTGCCCTTCGTCGTAAGCGTCAACGACGGAGGCCCGGGAGCTCTACAGCGGGGCCGACTCCATCACGAGCCTAAGGTCGGACAAGAACAGTACCAAGCCCGAACTGCTCGTGCTGTATTGGGGCAATCCTGTTGCCGGCGCAGGATTGACGGAGAACGTCGCAACCCAAGGTAACCCACTCACATGCAGCAAACGCTTAGCGCCAAGAAGCCGCCGTGGCAGAGACTACCGGAGGCCAGATGAACCCAATCTGTGGTAGACAAAGACTTGTCCATTTTGCCAGGCAGCAAAAAGCGCCGGAGAAAAAATCAGGTTGTGAGCCCAACACGCCAACCACTGCGCCACTGTTAAGAAGACTGGAGGGAGCACCCAGGGAGCGCCTGCGCCCAAGAAGGCACTTGGACATGAGCAGAAGGCTTTTCGAGCCACAAAGCTCCGCGACAGAAACGCACTCACAAGGCCAGAAACAGCGTTTTAAGCCCGGGCAACTCGAACTTCCGAGACGCACAGAATGCGGCTAAGGCCGGCTTTGCCTGCATATTGAAGCACCTTGCAGAAGTTCAAGCAGAAGGGCTGTGGCCGCACCGAGCGAGGAAACAAACACCACCTCTCTCTCTTTAGTTTCCTAAACGGATTCTATTCCAGGCTGATTACCAAAACGGATTCTATTCCACCTGGTAGGTTCCTGACACTCGTCCGGACTCGTCCGTCAGGAAACGACCTCGTCCTGCGAAGAATTCGAAATCTAAAATGCTGCGTGCAGGTGTGTGGCTGCAACAAAACAACCCCTAGATTTGCGCCGCTGCATTTCAAGAGGCAAGGTCAAGCTTTGCCAAGGAAACCCTTTTTCCCTTTTCTTCGCGACCCCTTTTTTGGGACCCTTTTGTTTCTTTTTTTTGTTTTTCTTGCCCTGCAAAGGTTGGCTTGCTTGAAACGCAACCAGCGTGAACCCGTAGCAATCTGCCTGAGAGCGCGTGACAGCAAAAACGCCCCAAGTTGAAAGGCATTGAAACTAAGTGCTGGGCTCATTTGTATTCGCAGGTCTTCTCTTCTTTCACCCAGTCCCCATCCTGCAAAGTCAAGCTGAGACACGGCGCAGGAAGGGCAAGCCGGGAGAGCGGGTTTGACAACATCCTTGTGGCCGTATCGCGATTGGTCGCTTCTAGATTGCCTCCGAAAGCTTCCCGGCGCCTCGGAGCGTGTTTTTTGTATGAAACTGTCAGACTGGGGGGGGGGGCCGGTCGCAATATCCGGGGGGGGGCGGTCGCGATATACTTTGACCGGCCCACCCCTCCTCATCGGTCGTGATACGGATCGCGACCGGCCCCCTTCCGGGGGGAGGGCCGATCGAAATATATCGCGACCGGCCCCCCCCCTCGGATCGTGGCCGGCCCCCCCCTGTGTTTGGTTCTCAGACCAATTGATCTCCCGCAACATTTGGCTCAAGGCCCCTTTTGTATATCATTGCATCATTCATGATCGCGTGAAGCAGAAGGATTATCCACAAGACAATCCACCAGGGACAATCCATCCTCCAGTCATCCACAGTGGCATATTGGATTCTCTCCGGAATAGATCCAGGGACCAACAACGACCTCTACTACCACAGGGT